CACATTTCTTTAAAATTTGGTTGGAGTACATACATAATTCACATCTGTCAAAAAAAAATGTCTTTGGGTTTTGCATAAGTGGAACCAAAATGGCCGGCTGAAGCAGAATGCATTCTGGGACATTTCTTTCCTGATTTAACATGACCTACCTACTACAAGTACTCTAAATTATTATTTCACAGGGACACTCGACAGGGATGTCTGCTATCCACTAAAAACATCCAAGCCCCAGAGCAAAGGAGAAATCCAATTCTGTCAACTGGACAAAAGTTGAATTTTTACTTTGCCTACCTGGATGACTGAGGGATCAAACGAACATCCAAGCATCACCATGAAATTAGTCTGAATGCTGACAACATTTTACTCTACTACCAGAAGTCTTCACTACAATAAATAACACTGAATGACTCATTTTCCAAAACATCAGACAACTCTATTGAGCACATAAACTAACTAAAGATGTCACTCCCTCTGGTCTCTTTGGTTCGGCATTCTCTCAGCTTGAAGGTCCTCACTTTGTCCAACTTAAAATATTTCATCAAAAAAAGTTATTTTTAGACACTTGTGTTATTTCAGATAGACAATTTCAATGACCCCTTCAACTACTGATTACTTCAACTAGCAAATCACTGCACTTCTCCTGGACTAATTTTATAACTATGTGTGTCTAGCAAGACTTTAGGCTTTTACTATACAGTTACCTGGAGAGAGGTGTAGAATTATGGATAACTTTACGCTGACTCATTTGGCTGGATCTTTACACACACATCGAGATTGGATATATAGACCAAATTCAGGATTTAAGATTTTACCAGGAGTTTGGTTTATGTTATCAGTTTGGCAGACACTGCAGAATTTAACTGGATATGGAATTTGTATTACACACAACACTATGGGCACACTCACACTTGGACTTGAGAAGAGTGCAGTGCTCAAGCATGATTGCCTAGGGTTTTATGTTCTACATTCACACTTGCACATCCAACCCAGGCCATGGCCTGATGACGTCATTACACGGCACATGTGCTAACGTTTTTAGCAGAGAAAAAAAGTCCAGTAGCAGAAATATCTATTAAATAGTGAACCTAATGTGCGTCCTCTTACGATCAGCGCTCCTCTGTGAATTTATGGATATAAAAACAGCATGGCGCAGCGATCACAGCCGGAGACGAGATGGAGCTAAGCTTCCTTATTGAAGGTAAGTGCGGATTCACTGTGTGGTTTGGAGTGGATTTTATTCACGGTTTTCTTTGCATGAGTAACATTAGCACATCTGACAGGGATTGTGAAGTTGTGCGTATACATTTGCAACCTTGCCGTGCTTTGGCCAAACTCCTACAACCGGGCCAAAGTCCTAAGTGTGCTGCGCCTGGACACGGTTCGATTGCCTCACACTGGACAAAAGTACCACACGTTGGGGTGATCCGTGCTTGGGCACGGTTCTAAAATCCTACTGTGAGTACACTCTATGATACACTTTTACCAGTAAGTGAGCCTTTGTACCATTGTTAAATAGCAGTTACATGATTTGCACTATTTATGTGCTGAAAGACGTGCATCAGTATGGGCGTGCAGCTGGGCCTCCAATGAGCCGGTCCCAGACCCCAAACGTTCCAGACTGCTTTGGAAGTTAGTACTGCCAGTGGTCTGCGTTGGCCCCCTAAAAGGGGGCGGTACAGATGGTCACATTTAAATGGCTTCACTCCAGTGTGGATTCTCATATGTGATTCAAGGTGGTTTGACTGTGAAAATGTCTTCTCACAAACATCACATCTGTATGGTTTTACCCCAGTGTGGATTCTCAGATGTCGATGGAGATGACTAGATTGTTTGAATTCCTTTCCACATTGGTCACTTTCAAATGGTTTCTCTTCAGTGCGGATTCTCATGCGTCGATGGAAATGACTAGATTGTATAAATCACTTCCCACACTGGTTACAGGTGAATACCATTCTGTTGGTAGATCCTGTAGTTCTGCATTAGAACAAAGGAAAGAAAGTGTTAAGTAAAATAACCTTTTTTAAATGTATAAATAAAGTAATTTTAACTAAATACACATAAAGCACATATTAATTCACATATAAGCATATGTCAGAATGTTTCAATGTGTGTTCTTCAAGCAAGTTGCATTAGGTTGCAGGAGAGAAGATCACATTAAGGTAACATATACAGAGACATTAACTTTTTTTTTTTTTTTTGCCCTGAATCCTAATCTATATAGACTAGTGTTATAACTTTTTTACAACCTCTATACCCTGTATCACATTTTGATGAACTTTTGCTAGTAATGAAAGGAATTGACCTTCAGTTGGTCATATTTTTTGAAAAAAGTCCCCCCAGACTCAAAATGAAGTTTTTTTTAAAGACTGCCAACAACCAGAATAATACTGTTAGAAGGTTAATGTCTGTTCAATCATAAAATAACAAAAGGCAATATTCTCTTTAATAACACAAGAACAAAACACATAATCAGGGTAAAGATAATATAAAATAGGCCACTGAGAATCAAAAAATGACGATTGTCAGTGTTGGTTTGCAGCAGGCTTATAAAGTGAAAGCAAGAATAGAAACTGAAACTCCAGTATGTTATGATAGCAGTACAACTTATTATTGATCCATTTTCAGTCAAATTGACTTGTAATGGCCCTTGTGATAACTTAGCACGGTTTCGCATTTCATATCATTGGCTGTAATGTGTATTTAATATGTTTTTGTTTCAGGGGGACTTTTTTAAAATAGTGTTGAAAATGGAGTTTGGTTTCTTCAATTATACCAAAAAGTTCATCCAATCATGATGCAGGACTTTGGTTTTGGAAAAAAAAAAGGTCAAAAAGTTATAACCCTAATATAGACACTGAATATTATATACTTACAAGAGTAGTCACAGAAAGTTCTTGAAGTACTTCAGCCAACCATCTGAATCTGGTAGTTCACTCAATCACAAGTTATGGTTAATTCCATTCATAGAAAAGCAGCTTTGTCTGTGTCCATTCACTGCCTCTTCTTTGTCTCTGGATGTTGCTGTAGTTGGTTAAGTGCCTCTCCACTTCTCACCACTCTTTTTATTGGACTGCAGCAGCCAGTCAGAATCATTTGAGGGTGGGCAACTTCACAAACTCACATGTGACACAAAGGGCAGCATTTCAATACCAAAGGCCATAAAGTGTCAGTCAAGCAGGTGGATTAGTCCATAGAGGTGTGGGCAGGAGCAGAGGTGTGAAGGGCTCAGGGGGTGGGGCACCGTCAAAATGAAGACAGAGGCAAAAATCAAATATCTACATGAGTTAAAATGATCTCTAATCTTAAAGTAGTCTTAATTATTATTTCACCGGGGTCCTCGACAGGGATGTCCATTATCCACTAAAAATCATCCAAGCCCCCAGCAAACGGGGAAATTTAAGTCAGTGAACAGGACAAAAGTTGAATTTTGACTTTGCCTGCCTGGATGACTGAGGGATTATATGGAACATCCAAGTCTCATCATGAAATCAGTATCAGTGCTGACGTTTTATTTTACTTACAAACCAGAAGTCTTGACTGCAGTGAACAATAAATCTGAATGACCCATTTTCCAAAAATATCAAACAATTCTATTGAAGATCACCTTGTGATCAGATGTGGTCTGTCACTTTGGTTCTGCACCCTCTGAGCTTGAAGATCCTCACTTTGATCAACTTCAAATATTTCATCAAAATAAAATCAACCAGATATTTAAAAACATTTACATTACTTCAGGTTGACAGTTTCAATGGCCCCTTTACTGTCACTACAGCTACAAATACCAATCACTGCACTTCTCCTGGACATATTTTATAACTACGCTTTTTGTGTTAGCAGAACACACTGGTCAAATATCCACATATGTTAATTTACTTTAGTTCAGAATTTTTCTTAGAGAAATTAGACAAGCTACTATCAGAGAGAAAAACTACTTGCCATTTCCGAATCAATAAACTCTATATTTACAGTACATGGATTACATGGAAGACCTCCATCTTCTACTATTCTGTGTTATTCAGAGCCAACTTCAAACCTTCTCTCAAGTCTGTTTAAAAACATTTAATGCTTCACCTGTTCTTGTGAAAGAAGCTTCCACTGTTTGTCAACCCCTTGTGTGTGTGTTTCATTTCTAAAGTTCTTCAATGTATATGTGAGACATAAGACAAACATGAACAAATGTTATAAAATAAATAGACTTTATTTTACTTCTCATCACAGCAACCATGAAAAGAAACAAGAGTCAGCAGCAAAAAAAAAAAAAGCTGCAATGAAGCTGGATTGAAAGCTCAAAGTTAAAAACAATACAATAAAGATGGACAAACTGCAGCTAAATCTTCTAATTTAAAAAAAAGAAAAAAAATCTTAACATCAATTTAAGCTTGTAATTTTTGACACTACACAGAGCTCAACTCCACAGTCTGGAGTCTCTGAAGTCTTATCTCCAGCTTTTTGAGTCTGACTTGAGGCTCACATAATCCGACCTCAGCAGCTCTTTCTCCTTTAGTGAGGTCAAGACGGTGCAACTTCAGATGAGCAGGTTTTATCATCCCACACTGGTCAGAACTGCAGCTTTTCTCTTCAGTTTGGAAGATTTGGACATGTTTTACATGGTTCTTCGCTGACCTGAAAGCCTTTTCTCTTTCTTCACTGTCATATGGTTTTTCTCCTGTGTGCGTTCGGCAGTGACTGGACAGTTCCTGGGATGTTCTAAAAAACTTTTTACACTGGCCACACTCATACAGTCTGTGCCAGAAGTGAATTCTCATGTGTTTATTGAGACTGGATGATTCAGAGAAAGTTTTCCCACATTGGTCACACTCATATGGCTTCTCTCCAGTGTGGATTCTCTTATGTGGTATTAGGTCGCTTGACCGTGAAAATGTTTTCTCACAAACATCACATCTGTGTGATTTTTCTCCTGTGTGAATTTTCATATGTTGATGAAGGCTACCAGATTGTCTAAATTCCTTCCCACACTGTTGACATTCAAATGGATTCACTCACGTGTGGATTCTCATATGTGTCACAAGGTGGCTTGACCTTGAAAAAGTTTTCTCACAAACAACACATCTGTATGGTTTTTCCCCAGTGTGGATTCTCATATGTGATACTAGGCTGCTTGACTGTGAAAATGTCTTCTCACAATCATCACATCTGTATGGTTTTTCCCCAGTGTGGATTCTCATATGTGATACTAGGCTGCTTGACTGTGAAAATGTCTTCTCACAAAAATCACATCTGTATGGTTTTTCCCCAGTGTGGATTCTCATATGTGTTACAAGGTCGCTTGACCGTGAAAATGTCTTCTCACAAACATCACACCTGTATGGTTTTTCCCCAGTGTGGATTCTCATATGTGTTACAAGGTTGCTTGACTGTGAAAATGTCTTCTCACAAACATCACACCTGTATGGTTTTTCCCCAGTGTGTATTTTCTTATGTGATACTAGGCTGCTTGACTGTGAAAATGTCTTCTCACAAAAATCACATCTGTATGGTTTTTCCCCAGTGTGGATTCTCATATGTGTTACAAGGTCGCTTGACCGTGAAAATGTCTTCTCACAAACATCACATCTGTATGGTTTTTCCCCAGTGTGGATTCTCATATGTGTTACAAGGTCGCTTGTCTGTGAAAATGTCTTCTCACAAACATCACAGCTGTATGGTTTTTCCCCAGTGTGGATTCTCATATGTGTTACAAGGTTGCTTGACTGTGAAAATGTCTTCTCACAAACATCACACCTGTATGGTTTTTCCCCAGTGTGTATTTTCTTATGTGATACTAGGCTGCTTGACTGTGAAAATGTCTTCTCACAAACATCACATCTGTATGGATTTTCCCCAGTGTGGATTCTCATATGTTGATGGAGATGACTAGATTGTTTGAATTCCATTCCACACTGGTCACATTCAAATGGTTTCTCTCCAGTGTGGATTCTCATATGTGTTACAAGGTCGTTTGACTGTGAAAATGTCTTCTCACAAACATCACATCTGTATGGTTTTACCCCAGTGTGGATTCTCATATGTCGATGGAGATGACTAGATTGTTTGAATTCCTTCCCACACTGGTTACAGGTGAATACCATTCTGTTGGTAGATCTTGTAGCTCTGCATTACAACAAAGGAAAGAAAGTGTCAAGTAAAATAACCTTTTCTAAACGTACAAATAAAGTATTTTTAACTAAATACACAAACCACATGTTAATTTATACATATTCATATGTCAGAATGTTTCAATGTGTGTTCTACAAGCAAATTGCATTAGGTTGCAGGAGAGAAGATCACATTAAGGTAACATATACAGAGATATTTAACTCTTTTTTTGCCCTGAATCCCAATTTATATAGACACCAAATATGATTTACTTACAAGAATAGTCACAGAAAGTTCTTGAAGTACATCAGCCAACCATCTGAATCTGGTAGTTCACTCATTCAAAAATTATGGTTAATTCCTGGCATAAAAAAGCAGCTTCTTCTGTGTCCATTCACCGCCTCTTGTTTGTCTCTGGATGTTACTGCAGTTGGTTAAGTGCCTCTCCACCCCTCCCCACTCTTTTTATTGGACCACAGCAGCCAGTCAGGATCATCTGGGGGTAGGCAACTTTGCAAACTCTCATGTGAAAAAGACATTATGCTGTCCCACAAGACAAAGGGCAGCATTTCAATAACAAAGGTCTTTCAGTGTCAGGCAGCCAGGTGGATTAGTCCATAGAGGTGTGGGCAGGAGCAGAGGTGTGAAGGGCTCAGGGGGTGGGGCACCGTCAAAATGAAGACAGAGGCAAAAATCAAATATCTACATGAGTTAAAATGATCTCTAATCTTAAAGTAGTCTTAATTATTATTTCACCGAGGTCCTCGACAGGGATGTCCATTATCCACTAAAAATCATCCAAGCCCCCAGCACACGGGGAAATTTAAGTCGGTGAACAGGACAAAAGTTGAATTTTGACTTTGCCTACCTGGACGATTGAGGGATTATATGAACATCCAAGTCTCATCATGAAATCAGTATCAGTGCTGACAACGTTTTACTTTACTTACAAACCAGAAGTCTTGACTGCAGTGAACAATAAATCTGAATGACCCATTTTCCAAAAATATAAAACAATTCTATTGAAGATCACCTTGTGATCAGATGTGGTCTGTCACTTTGGTTCTGCACCCTCTGAGCTTGAAGATCCTCACTTTGTTTTACTTCAAATATTTCATCAAAAATAAATCAACCAGATATTTAAAAACATTTACATTACTTCAGGTTGACAGTTTCAATGGCCCCTTTACTGTCACTACAGCTACAAATACCAATCACTGCACTTCTCCTGGACATATTTTATAACTACACTTTTTGTGTTAGCAGAACACACTGGTCAAATATCCACATATGTTAAATTACTTTAGTTCAGAATTTTTCTTAGAGAAATTAGACAAGCTACTATCAGAGAGAAAAACTACTTGCCATTTCCGAATCAATAAACTCTATATTTACAGTACATGGATTACATGGAAGACCTCCATCTTCTACTATTCTGTGTCTTTCAGAGCCAACTTCAGACCTTCTCTCTAATCTTGTGGGAAGATGCCCTTTATTGTTTTTGTTGCATGGTTTGTGTGTTTCAAATTATTTTAGTTTGTTATGATTTGTTTTCATTGTATGTATATTTGGGTTTCTGTGTGCAAAGGGCTGTGTTTTTTAATTATGTTAGACCACACCCCCAACCTGAGGAGCGAGAGGGACATTGGCTGTGCACACCTGTTGCTTATTGCGCAGCCCGGGACGGAAAGTGGGTCAATTGGGGAGTGTTAAAAAGGCAAGCTTAGACAGAGAGCGGGGGCAAAGTTGGACAGAGCAGGCCGGGAAGGATAGGGTGCGGTGACAAGACGGGGGAGTACACGGACCTTGGGCTGAGAACGCAGGCGTGGGACGCAACGGTGTGGCGTGGAAGAGCTGGAGACCTGTATGTACCCTCCCAACGCTTGGTGTTCGTGCGGAGCGGCTGAGGGAAAGCCGCTCACAATCGGTGAGTCCTAACACGAAGGGTGGGTACATTGGGGTGGAGCAGTGTCACCTCCCCACTGGCGACTACTTTCCCGACAGAGCCGGCGGATCGGTGCAACGCGGACGGGTGCGGAAGGAGCACGGACGGAGTGGCATCCACGGCCCGGGGGATCCAGGTGGACCTATTGGACACGATCCGTGCCTGGTGATCGAGTGGAGCGGCTGGGGAAAAAGCCGCTCCAAATCTGTGAGTTTCCCACACAAGGGTGGGGCAGCGCGAAGGGGTTCACGTTTTCTCCCCACTGGCAGCTCTCTTGTGTGGCAGGGCCGAGTCGCGGAGTGGAGAAGGCGGCCAGGGGAGCGTGCGTGGAGGGCTACAACGCGGAAGCCGGGGGGGAAGGAGTTGGATCCAATGCTCTGCCCTGGATAAACTCTTCAGCCTTCTTTTTCCTTTTCTTTGTTGACATTTTAGCGACTGTTAATTGTTTTAGCCAAGGTTCAACATACTTTTAATCGTGTATTTTACTATTTTTTAATTTTGCTTAAAGTTGTAATAAATTCACTGGAATTGTTTTTAATCTCTGGTTTTAATTACTGCTCACCCCTGGGTATTGAACCCTAGCTTTTTTATTGGGTCCTAGTCCCCCTACTAGGTGGCGTTGTTGGCAACAAATATTTAGAATTCGGTTGGGATCTTTAGAAGAAAAATTGAGTACTATCCCCCGCCCCTTTCCACTTGGCCACAATCTGATTAAAAACATTTAATGCTTCACCTGTTCTTGTGAAAGAAGCTCACACTGTTTCTCAGCCCTTTGTTTGTGTATGTGTTTCATTACTAAAGTTCCTCGATGCATATGTGAGAAATAAGACAAGCATGAAGAGATGTTCTAAAATAAAAAGACTTTATTTCACTTTTTCATTACAGCAGCCATGAAAAGAAACAAGAGTCAGCAGCAAAAAAAAAAAAAAAAAAACAGCAGTAAGGCAGGACTGAAATCTTAAAGTTAGAAACAACACAACAAAGATGGACAAACTGCAGCTAAATATTCTAATTTAAAAAAACGAAGAAAAAGACTTAACATCAATTTAAGCTTGTAATTTTTGACACTACACAGAGCTCAACTCCACAGTCTGGAGTCTCTGAAGCCTGATCTCCAGCTTTTTGAGTCTGAATTGAGGCTCACATGATCCGGCCTCAGCAGCTTTTTCTCCTTTAGTGAGTTCAAGACGGTGTACCTTCAGATGAGCAGGTTTTCTCAAAGTCATTCCACACTGGTCAGAGCTGCAGTTTTTCTCTTCAGGCTGGAAGATTTGGACATGTTTCACACGGTTCTTCACAGACCTGAAGCCTTCCCTCTTTCTTCACAGTTGTATGGTTTGTCTTCTGTGTGCGTTCTGTAGTGACTGGAGAGTTCCTGGGATGCTCTAAAAAACTTTTCACAATGGCCACACTCATACAGTCTGTGCCAGAAGTGAATTCTCATGTGTTTATTGAGACTGAATGATTCAAAGAAAGTTTTCCCACATTGGTCACACTCATATGACTTCTCACCAGTGTGGATTCTCATATGTGATACTAGGCTGCTTGACCGTGAAAATGTCTTCTCACAAACATCACATCTGTGTGAATTTTCATATGTTGATGAAGTCTACCAGATTGTCTATATTCCTTCCCACACTGTTGACATTCAAATGGATTCACTCAAGTGTGGATTCTCATGTGTGTCACAAGCTGGCTTGACCTTGAAAATGTCTTCTCACAAACATCACATCTGTATGGTTTTTCCCCAGTGTGGATTCTCATATGTGATACTAGGCTGCTTGACCATAAAAATGTTTTCTCACAAACATCACATCTGTATGGTTTTTCCCCAGTGTGGATTCTCATATGTGATACTAGGCTGCTTGACTGTGAAAATGTTTTCTCACAAACATCACATCTGTATGGTTTTTCCCCAGTGTGGATTCTCATATGTGTTACAAGGTCGCTTGACTGTGAAAATGTCTTCTCACAAACATCACATCTGTATGGTTTTTCCCCAGTGTGGATTCTCATATGTGATACTAGGCTGCTTGACCTTGAAAATGTCTTCTCACAAACATCACATCTGTATGGTTTTTCCCCAGTGTGGATTCTCATATGTGATACTAGGCTGCTTGACCGTGAAAATGTTTTCTCACAAACATCACATCTGTATGGTTTTTCCCCAGTGTGGATTCTCATATGTGTTACAAGGTCGCTTGACTGTGAAAATGTCTTCTCACAAACATCACATCGGTATGGTTTTTCCCCAGTGTGGATTCTCATATGTCGATGGAGATTACTAGATTGTTTGAATTCCATTCCACACTGGTCACATTCAAATGGATTCTCTCCAGTGTGGATTCTCATATGTGTTACAAGGTCGCTTGACTGTGAAAATGTCTTCTCACAAACATCACATCTGTATGGTTTTTCCCCAGTGTGGATTCTCATATGTGTTACAAGGTCACTTGACTTTGAAAATGTCTTCTCACAAACATCACATCTGTATGGTTTTTCCGCAGTGTGGATTCTCGTATGTGTTACAAGGTTGCTTGACTTTGAAAATGTCTTCTCACAAACATCACACCTGTATGGTTTTTCCCCAGTGTGTATTTTCTTATGTGATACTAGGCTGCTTGACTGTGAAAATGTCTTCTCACAAACATCACATCTGTATGGTTTTTCCCCAGTGTGGATTCTCATATGTGTTACAAGGTTGCTTGACTGTGAAAATGTCCTCTCACAAACATCACATCTGTATGGTTTTTCCCCAGTGTGGATTCTCATATGTGTTACAAGGTCGCTTCTCTGTGAAAATGTCTTCTCACAAACATCACAGCTGTATGGTTTTTCCCCAGTGTGGATTCTCATATGTGTTACAAGGTTGCTTGACTGTGAAAATGTCTTCTCACAAACATCACATCTGTATGGATTTTCCCCAGTGTGGATTCTCATATGTT